GGCATGACTGGGGAAGAAAGAGCTCCCCAGGTAGAGCAGCACAGTCTTCTCCATTGTCCTCTCTCCCCTTAGCCCCAGGCCCCACGCAGCAGACCACACATCTTATCTTCCCTCCTCCTCCTCAGAATACCAAACATTATGAGCTGTTAAACTACAGTGAGCATGGGACAACGGTGGACAATGTGCTGTATTCATGTGATTTCTCTGAGAAGACCCCGCCAACCCCCCCAAGCAGTATTGTTGCCAAAGTGCAGAGTGTCATCAGTAAGTTGGAGCAGAGGCCTGTGGCCACAAAGCCTGGCATTTTTGGACACATTCTTTAAGGCCCTGGTCAGAGTGGTTCTGGCTTGCTGCCAGTGGTGTGCTGTCTCATGCCTTCTCGGTCCCCTTGGCCCAGTTGTTGTTCATGGACCCAACGAAGGCCATGGATAAACAAGTGCTATGCACCCACTTATGTGTACACACCTATTTGGGGACTTCAGACTCCACTAGTCCTTTCTGAGCATGCGCCACCCCAGTCATGCAGCAGTTAAAATGGGGGTCCAACTCTAGCAAATATCCCAGATGGATGGGCTGCTCATTGTTCCTTTCCAGTGACCACCCCCTTTTTTCCCAGGGCGCCGCCGGCACCAGAAACAGGATGAAGAGCCAAGTGAGGAGGCAGCCGTGATGAGCTCCCAGGCCCAGGGGCCACAGCGGAGACCCTGCAACTGCAAAGCCAGCAGCTCAAGCTTGATTGGGGGCAGTGGGGCCGGCTGGGAAGGCACAGCCTTACTGCACCATGGCAGCTACATCAAGCTGGGGTGCTTGCAGTTTGTCTTCAGCATCACTGAGTTTGCGACCAAACAGCCCAAAGGCGATGCCAGCCTGCTGCAGGATGGGGTCTTGGCCGAGAAGCTCTCTCTCAAGCCCCACCAGGGTCCTGTACTGCGCTCCAACTCCGTTCCCTAGGACTGGCGGCTACCCCGTCACTGGCGTGTCCATCCAACCCAAGACTCCTGCAATGCAAAAATGTATACAAACCAAGCCCGGGTTTTTTCTATACTCCACCAGAAACCCTTCAACTACAATCTTTGCATGAAATGAAGAAAACCTTTTGACTGTTTTTTTTTTTTTTTTTTTTTTTAATCCTTTTTCTTTTCTCAAGTTCTAGGGGGCATTTGCACATATATTTGTACTCAACATTTCATGGGAAAGCGGCAGACCCGAGCTGAGGAACAGCGTGGGCAGGGAGGGGGAAGGCCAATGGTCTGGACACTTCCTCCAATACAAAAACCATTCCCTACCCACCTCCTGCTCTCTCCCCCTCGCCCGCCGTTGTAAAATAATCAGAAACTTGTTCTATTTTGTGGCAGTGACAATAGTTTTATATTAAAAGAAAAAATACAGTTTTCATACAGCAAAATCTATACAATATCATTGTTTTATTTAATATAAAGATCGCTACCCACCTTCCTTCCATGATTCCCAACCTCCAAGTTATTTTCCCTTTCTGCAGCGGTTGCACTACAGGTAGCTACTGTGTATTATGGACAAATGAGAAATGAATTCTTTTTCTGGCTGTCCATCTATTTTATTTCAAATAAGGAAAAGTGTATTTGGCTTTTGTGTAAATACATCTAGTGATGACATTTTTTCAATGTTTTTAAAAACTGTGTACAGTACTACATGTGGTAGAGCGTTTTCTTCAAATTGTCTATTGTAGCAAAGACGTTTTTGTCGTAAACCTGTTTTGTCTTCTTTTTTTGTTCTCTTGCCACTTCTCTTCCTCCCACCCCGGCTCCCTCTTCTCCCACCCCCACAACTAGTACCAATGTACATAGTAATTGTAATGTTTTAGACTTTACAGAAACTTTCCTGTATTCTGTATATAAAAAAACAAAAATACTTCAAATTATGTTTTCTGCCTGTCTGTCCTACCTGTCATCACCCTTGGAGGAGACCCTCTCCAAGATCCTGGTCTTCCAGTCTCATTGAATAAGTATCATTCCCCTAAGGGAAGTTGGGAGAGGGGTGGTGTTGGTGAAAAGTGAGCCTAAGGTGAGTGGTGGGGAATGGAACAGTAGGAGTGCATCTGCTAAGGAGGACCGTTCTATGGCTTTGTGGGTGACTTGAGGGAGTTTCGAAGGCTTGATTATTTGACATGATCAGATTCTGCAAGATTCCAAGTATGCAGGTCCCTTGGAATCTTGCAGAATCTGATCATGTCAAATGTTCTAAAACCTAGACATTAAAACAAGCTGGCCTGATACCTCTGCATTCTGGTCTAGAAGCTTTAACCTACCTAAGAGTTGGGGTTGCCTTTGGTTCCAGTTGTTTGCTATTCTGAAAAAATATTTTATTCATCTTTCCTGAGAGAAGTCATAACACCTGGTTTTGTCCTAAGTTAGCCTTAGCTGGGCATAGAGCAATTCACTTATTGAAGTACTACCTGACCCTATTCTATGCCTGGTCCTTGCTAGGTCTTGAGTTTTGGTCTAGGGCATTTGGCCCCTTTCTCTTAGATCTTAGAATCTAGTGTGGAGTAATTTGTTGATTCATCTTTGGGGTATATCATGAAGAAAAAATGAGAAATCCCATCTCTAGACCCAGCTATACCCTAAGTTATGTGACTTGCAATCACCACTTCTCTACAACTGCAGTTCCTCAAAAGATGAGTCTAGTGCATTACCTTAATTCTAAAGCCTTGAGAACTCTCTTACTAAACCAAATTCCATCCTTTCCTCCTCACAACCCTTACATGAGAAACATCCAGGAAGTTTTTTTCTGTGGACAGTCTCTGACTACTCAGCTAGAGAGCACTTGTGTGTCTATCCCAGCAGTGTTCAAGTAGGTGGTACCTATTGGCCTGTCAGAATTTTGCCCTGGGGATGGAGGGGACATCCATTTAGCATTCCATCCCCACCTCATCCCACAGCATCTACAATTGAACCCTGAATCCACAGTGCAACTTAATAGAAAACTTCCCCTAGAATCTGAGGTCTAACCCAGGCTTTCACCTACCCATCTAGTTCTGTCCCTGACCTGATGGGCCTCTTGAACTCCCTAAGGGCAGAAACATGCGTGTTGTTCAGCTCCAAATTTCCAAGGCTAACCACACTGCTGGGTGCACCGTAAGTGCCAAACAATGGATACTAAATTGTACTGGATTTCTCAGGCAAGTCACCTGGCCAATAATACCCTTACCCATGCCTCCCTAGCCATCCTCACCCATCTCACCATTGTCACTTCTGTTGATTGAAGGAGCTTCTTTACCCATTTCTTCCACCTGTGAGAAACGTTACAGAGATAAATTTCCTCTTGGAGGTCAGTTAAATGTTACACTCATTTCTTCCTCCTTCCCTTCAGAAATGGAGGAGGTGGGGGGCAGAGGCAAGGAGATACAGACAACTAATAAGTAAATCCTGACAGCCCTTAACTGATGAACACACCGCATCACCTCTCTTGGCCTCTATTGGAAGAACGGAGAAGAATTCTAGAAGCTGAAGGCAGGATTTGAGGATAGGAATGATAGGACTTACAGAGGAGACAAGGCATCCAGGGCCGAGTTTACTCTGACACAAAAGCCCTCATGTACATACATTTCTCCAGAAGGGAAGGACTCTGCTACATATACATAGAGGGCTCGTACACACCCTGTTAGCGCTCCTGCAAGTCCTCAGCTATAGGGCATCACACAAAGGGCAGTTACATACAATGTTCATTCAAGCACACACATTGGTAGAGACCAGATGCATACACACACCTAGAAAGGCTCTCAGTGACATGAATACAAACATGTAAAAGTTGCTCACACAGGCACACATGGAGGATCCAGAGGCACAAACACCACCTGAAGGATGATCCCAGGTCTCACTGGCACGTTACACACCAAACACTGATTCACATACTCACATGGCAGATGGATGCATGTACAGGCCTAGGGTGCGGATGCCACACTCACAGGCATCTAGAATGAGTTCGTGCAGGCACACACCTAGAGGGCGCTCTTAAGGCCCAAATGCATACACGCACCTAGAAGGTGTTCTCACAAGCACAAACCCAGAGGACGCAGACGCATGCCTATGGGGCGCTCGCAGGGCCCACGTGCACACGCACGCACACACACCCTTCCCTGCCTGCCTCCCTCCGCCTTCGGGAGATTGAGGCGCGCCGAGCGCACTTCCAGACCAGTGCGGGGAGGATCGGCAGCCGCCTGGCGGCGATCCCGGGCGGCGCGGGGCCTGGGCGGGAGCCCACGGGCCCGGCGGTCATGGAGGCGCTGCTGCTGGGCGCGGGGTTGCTGCTGGGCGCCTACGTGCTTGTCTACTACAATCTGGTGAAGGCCCCGCCGTGCGGCGGGATCGCCAGCCTACGGGGCCGCACGGCGGTGGTCACAGGTGAGAGCAGGCGGGTCGGAGGGAGGCTCAGCTAGGCTTGGTGGGGGTGGAAATGAGGCTTAGCTAGGCTCCCGGCCGCCCTCCGCAGGCGCCAACAGCGGCATCGGGAAGATGACTGCGCTTGAGCTGGCCCGCCGGGGAGCGCGCGTAGTGCTGGCTTGTCGGAGTCGGGAACGCGGTGAGGCGGCTGCTTTCGACCTACGCCAGGTGAGGGAAGGCGGGGCGGGGTGGGACAGTGAACAGAGGACAGACACACCGAGACACAGAGGGGTGAGCAGACTGGCTCCAGGAGATCCAGACTCTGAGAGTGCGGTTCGGCTCCTTAAGTGCAGAAGAGGGGGTGCACAGTGGTGTAGTCATACAGGAAAGGGGCGCCAGATCCAAACTGGGTAATGGACTTCCTGAAGGAAGTAATTGCTGTTCTAAGACATTTAAGGATTGTTAGAAGTTACAGTAATGAAAGACAGTATGTAAGGGAACAAGAGAGGAAACAGCATATGAAAAGGCCCTGAGGCAAGAAAGCTGGTCTGATTTAGAAAACGGGGGGTTGGGGGTGGGGGGGGAGGTTTAATGAGGCTGGAGCACAGCATATGGGGAAAAGAAGCAAAATGAAGGAAGCTGGAAGCCCTTAAAGACCTCATCAAGGAGCTCAGATTTTATAGGGTGGGCAGTGGAGATCCAATGAAGGGTCCTCAGCAGGCTCTGGACTGTCAGAATAGCCTTTTGGAACCAAGAAACTTTGAGTGACTGTGTGGTGCCTGGACTGGAGAGGGCAAGGGTGAGTGAAAGACCAATGAGAAATGTGCTGTAGATTTTAGGGTAAGGCAGAGGGGATGATGATAATAATAATAGCAAATATCTTCACAGTGCTGTGTGCCAGGTACTGTTCTAAGTATTTTACATATATTAACACATTTAATCCTCACAACAACTCTATGAGAAAGGTACTATTATTCTTCCAATCAGAAAGATTAAGTATCTTGCCCAAGGTCACACTATAGTAAGAGACAAAGTCAATATGTCTATATTGAGTTCACACACTTATCCACATCATTCTAATGCATAGGGGCAGGTGATGGTAATATTAGGAAGCAGACTCAGAATTTGGTGCCTAGGAACAGGGAAGAGGAGAAAGGTACTTGGTAACAAGCCCAGCCCTTACCGCTCCACAGGAGAGCGGGAACAATGAGATCATCTTCATGGCTTTGGACTTGGCCAGTCTGGCCTCCGTACGGGCCTTTGCCACTGCCTTCCTGAGCTCTGAGCCCCGGCTGGACATCCTCATCCACAATGCCGGTGAGGGTGCAGCAGGCCCTGTAGTGGGGGTGGCAGGTGGGCTGGGGGCAGTGGTTCCCCGCAGGAAGGCCTTGTTAGAGGCCAGTAGACATGTGAGAAGGATGCCCCCACCCCCATCTCACAGATGAGGACTCTGAGGCCTATGGGGATCCCTCCAGAGCAATTGTTCATGCCTAGCCTCTGCCCCAGGAATAAGTTCATGTGGCCGGACCCGTGAGCCCTTTAACCTGCTGCTGCGAGTGAACCACATCGGCCCCTTCCTGCTAACACATCTGCTGCTGCCTCGGCTGAAGACATGCGCCCCTAGCCGAGTGGTGGTGGTATCCTCAGCTGCCCACCAGCGAGGGCGCCTTGACTTCACACGCCTGGACCATCCAGTGGTAGGCTGGCGGCAGGAGCTGCGGGCATATGCTGACAGTAAGCTGGCCAATGTTTTGTTTGCCCGGGAGCTTGCCACTCAGCTTGAGGGCACTGGCGTCACCTGCTTTGCAGCCCACCCAGGTGAGGTCTGTCTCTTTGGCTGCTCTGCTTTGCTTTGATTCCTCCTACCCCATCCTTGCCCCATCCTATGCCCCCAGCCTCTCACTGAACCATAGAATCTCAGAGCAGGGAAGAAGCATGGTCCAAGAAGAAACCTTTTCCTTACTGATCTTGGCACCAGGCTCTCCTTGTCTGGGTTCTTCTCACACCACAAGCGTAGATGCTGACTACTGGGTAGGGTATGGCCATGAATAAGACCCAGGTTCTCACCCCAACGAGCCATTTATATGCCTAAATTGACTATAATATGATGATAATGATAGCTATGATTATTCATTCAAGAAACATTTACTGAATACTTACTGTGTACCGGGCATTAATCTCAGTGCTAGGAATATAGTAGTGAACAAAACAAAAACCCTATTCTGAAAGAGTTTACATTCTAGTTTAAGGGAGGAGGATACCCCTAATAAATAAATATATACAATGGCAGGTAGTGATAAAGTGCTATGGAGAAAGACGGGGTGCTATTTTATCTATCGCAGTCAAAGAAGACATCATAAAAGGTGACATTTGAATAGAAGTCTGAAGAAGATAAGAGAGTGACTTATGTGGTTTTCTGGGGAGAAGAGTGTAAAGAACATAGCAAATAGCAAGTGCTTGGTATGCTTGAGAAAGACCAGGGAGCCTGGTGTGTCTAGAACAGAGAGAAGGGGCAGTGGCATGAAATGAGGTATGGAGATGGACTGGGTCATCTAGGGTCTGGAGGTCCACTCTAAGTATCTTGGCTTTTAGTCTGAATGAGTTAACTAATGAATAAGACCCATCCCTGCCTTCAGGGAACAGATAACAGGATAACAAGATCTGCCCTACCCCTATTACCATACTGCATTTTAGATAGTCATTGCCTGGGGCTCATGAGTAATTATAATGGTGACAATAATAAGCACAACTAATCTTTACAAGGCTTTTATTACATTCCACATCTCTAATGTCCAAAACAGTGGATGGTCTACCATAGATGTTAATAAATGTTTGCTGGTTAAACGAAGGAACAGAACCTGAGCTAGAAGAAAAGATGGAGAGAGAATTGTTCCACATGGAAGACATAGCATGAGCAAAATCTGGGAGATGGGGATATACAAGGTGTTTGGATAGAGAAGAGGAGGCTTGCTGTTGGCAATGAGTAAGGACACCTTGTGGGGCCCCTGAATGCCTGGTAAACACTACCTTGGTGTCCCTGGAACTGGACTCTGTTCCCCACTCCCTTCTAGCCCTGTTTTCTCAGCTCCTACCTTGGGTCTTCACCCACTGTCCTCCCCACTCCATCCTTTCTCCTGTCCACAGGGCCTGTGAACTCGGAGCTATTCCTGCGCCACATTCCCGGATGGCTGCGCCCACTTTTGCGCCCACTGGCCTGGCTGGTGCTGCGGGCTCCAGGAGGGGGTGCCCAGACCCCCCTGTACTGTGCTCTACAGGAAGGCATTGAGCCCCTCAGTGGGAGATACTTTGCCAACTGCCATGTGGAGGAGGTGCCTCCAGCCGCCAGAGATGACCGGGCAGCTCACCGGCTGTGGGAGGCCAGCAAAAGCCTGGCAGGGCTTGGACCAGGGGAGGATGCCAGATCTGATGAAGACCCCCAGCCAAAGGACCCAGGGACCCCATCTTCTCTGAGCAGCTCCCACCCTGAGGAGTCCACAGTTTCTGAACCCTACCCCAGCCCTCAGAGCTCACCAGACTTGTCTAAGGTCACACACCGAATTCTGGTTAAAGCTGAACCTGAGCCCTAAGTCTCTGAACTCCCAGACCTGGATGCTTTCTGTGGCACTTGGTAGCCCTTGAAAACTTTACCTGTGTGCCAGGCCTTGGCCTGGCCATTGAGGAGTTTGCAGTTTTTACCTACCTCCATGGTTACTTTCTGGGGTTTCAAGGTATGTCCTGGACAGCTCTTTTTCTGATGGAAGGAAATAATGAGTGATTATTTCTTCCTGAGAATGACAGCCCAGATTGAGAAGGGTGTGTGTGTGTAATGTGCCAGACACTGCTTCTCAGGAATTTGAATTTCATATTTCCAGGCTCCCCCCTTAGTGATGCTGATCACCTCTGGATGAGGGCTTGGGAATTTGAAATTTGATGTACCGCCAGCATTTAGAATTACTAAACTGGGCCCTTCGCAACCATGTAGCTAGGTAGTTAAATTACCCCCGTTTTACAGAAACGGGGTTAGGCAGCAGAGGTAAGAGACTTCTCCAAGCTCTCACAGTAAGAGTAGAGGCTGAGATTTGAACACAGGCGGTCTGGTTCCAGGGCTGACTGGTCTTAAGTTGGGTGCTGGGAGGTGAAGCAAGGAAGGGAAGTTGTTATCGGGGCGCCCCATGGGAGTCGAGGGACACCTTCCCGGGGTGCTTTAGGGCTGGGCCCCGCAAACCCGACCTGCATATAATAAAGTATGTTGACTGCCGATGCTCCCGCTGGTTGCTGCCTCTCACGACATGCCGGCCCCGCCCTCCGCAGCCACACTTCCGGCGGGGCTGGCGGCCGCAGAGGGGCGCGGGTGAGCCGCCGCTGGGGGTGGTGGGATAGGCTGGGCGCGGCGGGCGGCCGCGGTGCGGGAGGGTGCTGGGTGCGGGCTGCCAGCTGCTATCCAGGTCTCTGCGGTCCCCGAGGGCTCTCCGTCCCGCCGGCGCCATGGGCAATTGCCACACCGTGGGGCCCAACGAGGCGCTGGTGGTTTCAGGTGAGGGGCAGCGAGGGAGGTGGGTCTGAGACGCCCAGTCCTGAGGGTGTTTGGGGCGGGCAATGTGCCTGGGAAGGTGGGTGAGGAGGGGGCTTGTGTTGGGTGCGGGGTTGGGGAGAGAACGGGGAAGGGTAGGCCAAGGAAGGGCTTCGAGGATGCGGGGCACTGCCGGGATTGGGGGACGAGATGGGGGCGCCAGGTGTCCGGCCTGAGCCTGCCGCGCTCCGGGCCGCACCAGAGACCCAGGAGAGACCCTCATACTTTCACTTTCGGTGCGTCGTGCCCTCCGGCACCCATCAGCGGCTCCTACCCCACCGCGTGTTTTCCTGTTTATCTCCTTTCTCCGCCTCCGCCCTAGGCAGTGTCCCCCTCTCCGTGGCCTTGGGGATCTCAAACTGCATCCTTGGGGTTCTGGGAGGGAGGTGACTGGAACACAGCTATTTGGCTGGATTCCAGCGCCCGGGATTGGAGGCGGGTTGCGCGCCTCTGGGAGGCAAGTGCCTGTCTGGGGAGGGGCACTGGGACATGGATCTTTTCTCCAGGCACCGTCAGACCCGTTAATTCCCAGCAGGCTGGGGCTTGCCGTTGTTTCCTGGCATTGCGCTCTTGGGAGATGCGGATGCGGCCTCTACAGGTTGAGAAACCGGATTCTGGGTTGCACCGCTCCCGTTGCAAAATGCTGCAAGCTCCAGAATTTCTGTGAGCTTAGGTGGGGCTTGGGGACTGCGGTATCAGAGAGAGGAGAGATATCTTTCCTTAAGACTGCTTTTTAAATTATATATTTAGGTACCTTGGAAGGTGGCTGAAGCCTTTCAAAGCACTAGTTTGTGCAGCAGCCCTGCCCCGCCAGTGCTCCGGAGAGTCTCTGTTTCCTGACAGCTAGCTTGGAGGCCTGTAACTGCAGGAGGAGTACCTCATGTCTTACTTCCCACTCTCAATGCCAGTTTTCAGCCTGTGTGCAGAATTGTTAGAGCTGGCTACAGAAGTGGGTACTAGCAGTGGGCTAAGCCAGGGATTGTACCTGCCCACCCTTGGAAAGGTCTGATAAATCCGTTGGGGACTTTTACCCCAGAACATGACCTCTGGCTCTGTCTGGATCCCAAAATCAATCTCTCCACTGGAACAGGAAATTCCCATTCTCCCTTATCAGGATCTTACTTCTGTGAGGGAGATAAAACATTTCACTTCCCTAAGGACCCAAGATAGCCTTGGGATCAGGATGGAGATTGCCAAAGAACACTGAGGCCAGACTTTCACTTCTGTAAGACCTGGACCCATCTCCCAGCCCCAACTCCTAAAGAAGGCTTTTAGAACCCGAATCTGCACTTTGTTTTTCTTGTAGGGTTTCTTTCTGGAAGCCCAGACTTTGAGCTGAGAGAAAACCTCCAATCCTGCCCCTTTGCAGTCTTGATGCTGAAGGGTGAGAGGATCCCCTGAGATGGGCTGCTCTGTACCATCTAGTTGTCAGCAACCTGGTCCCCTGGCCAAAGAACAATGCAATGCTAGCTTGGAAGCTGTTTTAGGGGTGGCGAGAGGAGGCTGTGGTGAGAATTGAGGGCACTAGAGTCAAGAGTGGGAGGAAGAGGGAGGGATGATGTCTAGCGTAATAGTACCTTCGGGTTTGAGATGATCAAACTTAGAAGCAGCTTCCTCTTGCACATGGTCTCCCAGGAGAATAGAGCAATTACTCCTAGCCCCGCCCCGACCTGGTTACCTGGGTTTGCATCTAAGTCCAGGGTCATCTCACTAAGCACAATTTCAGAAGAAGGATGCTGATACATCTCATGGTCATCTTTTTCACCTGAAAAGTCTGGAGTTTCTTCTAGTTGTCTAACCTTCATTCTACAATATAAAACCTTTTTCTCTATTTCTATTTCAGGAATTTTAAAGGGGAATCCAAATACTGTACATCTTTCTCTCATCTCTATAATAGGTCAGAGGTTCTTAACCTGGGGTTTGTGGATAGGCATTTGGATGGGGGTGGGGGGGAGTGCATTTTTTATTTTCTTAACTAAAATTTAGCATTTCCCATTACTGTGAATGTCAGTCACAGTCCATGATGGTATTAGCAGATATTTTCCTACCATTCTGCAGTCATTGTAGTATCTTAAAAATCATTTATGCTCATCATTACTTTGAAGTTAAACCAGTTATTAAATCTACCATAGACCTTATTATTTCATGTGTTACACTGTCACACATATGACTATGTATTTTGTATATTTATTTTGTATGTTTTGATAACTTTCAATATAATTTGTTTCTTCTGTACTGTATGCATTTATCAACATCCTAAACATTGCTGGACTACCAAGGGGATTTGTGGCTCAAAAAAAGGCTGATTCCTTTTGTAGAGTATGGTCTTCTGGACTAATACAAAGAAAGAGGTGGAAGCGGGAGGACAGGAAGGGAAGGGAGTTTTCCTCAGAGGGCAGAGTAAAGGCTTTGTCTGGGGTGGGCCAAAGAGTGGGGCTGAGGTTATCTAGGAGTGTTTTGTGATTCTTCAGCTTAGTTAGGACAGAGGAAAGCAAGCTGTCTTAGAAAAAGTAAGATAAAATTAGGAGAGGTTTCCAGGTCTCAAGACAGACTAGGATAGTCAAAGAAGGGGCACCTATGTGTCCTCCTTTGGGATTGGTGGTTGGGCTCAGTGTGACCAGGAAGCTATGAGGAAGATGCTTTCCAGGGGAGGAGGCTGCTGGGGGCGGGGCAGTCTGGCAGTCTCAGCTTCCTGTTGTTGCTACCCCTGGGAATCTGGCCATGTTGCCCTTGGCCAAAGCCCTGCTTGAGTTCTGGCAGGCTGCTCCCAAGGTCAAAGAATAAGTTAAAGGTAGAGGGTAGATACCCCCCACC